GCAGTTTTTTTGGTCTTCTTTAGGTTCCGCTTGACAATAGCCCAGTATTTCTCAATTGGGCGGAGCTCTGGCGTGTTGGGAGGGTTCTTGTCCTTGGGAACCACCTGCACGTTGTTGGCGGCGTACCACTCCATGGCCTTTTTACCGTAATGGCAAGATGCCAAATCCGGCCAAAACAGTACGGAACAACCGTGTTTCTTCAGGAAAGGCAGCAGACGTTTATTCAAACACTCTTTCACGTAAATTTCTTGGTTGACAGTCCCGGAAGCTATGAAAATGCTGCTTTTCAAGCCACAGGTACAGATGGCTTGCTAAACCAGATATTTCTTTGCGAACTTTGACAGTTTCATGTGCTTGAAAACATCTGCTACCTTTCCCCTTCCTTTTGCCGTATAAAACTCCTGTCCCGGAAGCTGCTTGTAGTCGGCTTTGACGTAGGTTTCGTCGTCCATTACCACGCAGTCAAACTTCGTCAGCATCGTCGTGTACAGCCTCCGGGATCGCGCTTTGGCCGTCGTATTTTGTTTATCATCGCGATTTGGAGTCACTACCTTCTTGTAAGTCGATAGTCCGGCTCGTTTTTTGGCTCGATGCACGGTTGTAGACGATACACCCAGCTTATTTGCGGCATCTCGGAGAGAGAGGTTAGGGTTTCGCTTGAAACTACCGGCAACTCTCTTTGTCGTCTCAGCGGCTTCCGGTTTTCGATTTCCCCCCGATCCAGACTTCCTGGCTGTCGACAAACGTTCCCCAAACACTTTAATTACATTTGTAACGGTTGATTTGGCAACTTTTAGCGATTTTGCCAACTTTGCGTGCGAGTAGCTCGGATTTTCGCGATGCGCGAGCAAAATTTTGATACGCTGCTCTTCTTGCTTGGACGGCATTTTGACAACTGAAGAGTGAATTCCAAAATCAAAATAGGAGCAACATTCTACACACACACACACCTTCAAAATGAGGGGTGTTCAGGTTTTTTAAATGCAAAATTGAAAGAAATACGTCAAGTTGATATTGACCAAATTTTGACCGTATAACCCTTTATGTAAAAAGTGCTGCTTGATAAGTTAAGAAAAAGCCATGATAAACACAAATAAAAGTCAGCAGGTGTGTTCTGCCCAGAGGGTGTGTTTTGTACCATTGTACCTTATAGATGATTACTTCTAAATATTGCATTGCCTAAAAATCTGCATGATCAACTTAACACTTTTAATTGAAATTTCACTGGAGTCGCCTTTTGTGCGATTTCTTACACGCGGCTTTCTGTGCGCAGATTTTTTAATTTTCTCGGTTTTATCCCATGCAACATTTCCGCTTTTATTATGATCTTCAATTCCATTCTTAGCTTTATAAACCATTTCAAAACCAAGATTAAATCAAAATTAATACTTGAAATTTTAAGTGAATATTGGAATTTACGTGGGTTTTAAAGCGTTTTTTTTAAGTAGCGTGAATCTCCCACGTAAAAAGCGACTCCAGTGTATGCATTTTTAATATATTTTCAAATCTAAAAAAATATACTAAACATGTATTTAAGAAACAAAATTCATATGCACTTTCGAAACGCATTTTCTAGTACAGGTTTGAGAAGTATTTGTTTGACTACCAAACATATGGCTGGAAAAATATTCATGTTTTTTGGCAAAAAGTGATCAACTTCCCCTGTTTTAAGCTACCTGCCATTTGAAAGCGCATGATTATTCGTACAAAGATACATCGTACATATTCATTTTGTTGACCGATTTGCACAGTCGAGCTTCTGACAAAGCAACGAGATCGCTAGCAAAAGTGATGTTTGGTTGCTTAGTCTGGATTTTTTTATTGCTGATCCTCAGAAAATAGTCTTCATTATGGTTGAGATTTCAATAGAATTTGTTGCCGGGCCCTAGGTAAAAAATTGTAGAGATGTGGGAAACGAAACTATCCGCCTAGAAACGTAGCAGATGCAAAAAAAAAACACAGGAACAGTAGTATTTCTACGTTTCACGTTCACTTTCCATTAAGCTAGCACCAAGTTTAATGCGGTTGCACAAAAACGTTTTTCATGATATCCTGCTAGTAAAAAAATAAGTTTTACACAAGACTGCACATTCTTAAATTTTCGCTAATGTGTGAATCGTATTGCATAAGTCAATTTTACGTCTGGATAATCTATTATTGAGGTATGATTTTTTGTAGGAAACTTATGTATTACGTTTATTAAAATCTCATTTTGTATCATCATCTGTTGTTAAATGTTGTCAACTGCTGTAGCGGATAAATCAAACGATTATATTCGCTACATTTGCCTCCATTTTATCTCAATATATCGATGCAAAAGCTAACCATTATAAGATAATTCAAAATGGTTCATAATCACCGAGCTTTTTCACGCGTTAATTTGGGAACGAATATAAAGGCGGAATTTATACAGCTAAACGACTGAAAGCCGCAGCATTCAAAATACACAACGGGGTCTGTTTCAAAAGAGCTGAATTATAATATTTCACAATTTATATATCATTATTTGAGAGCTCGTCATCATAAAAGTCTACATAGACTACATAATGATACGTGGCACTGGCTGTCGTTTCTTGCTTCGATGAGAGAACACTACCCGGAATATTTTCAAGTCCTCTTTTTATTGTCGTGTATGCTATTTTCTGCTCGACGGTCGGCTCAGATCTGTAGATGGGGACAGAACAGAATGTCAACGTTGGGCCTGTCATGCCCGCAGAGGGCCCATTAAATAATTAAAGCCAATTGAAATCAATTAAGGAGCACTGCCATTCCGTACGTAAACCACGCTTGAAGCTGTCATCTGAGTGTTGTTGATGCTTTTTCCACTTGTTTGTGTTGTCGTACACGGAAAATTCGGCACTTATGGCTATATATATATATATATTGAAATTTCTTTGCTATCACTGTGATTAAGAAACGAAACATAATCAAGGTAAGTGTTCTTCTCACGACAAATAGAAGTATAAGTTGGTATTTTGCTTAGCCTTTTCCGTTTTGTACGGCTATGTCAGATCTAATGTAACACGTTAAAAGCGGAAAGATGGCAAAGCGTTTATTCCGAAAATATACTGCAGTAACTTCAGCCTTAAAATATTGCAGAATGGTTATGTGTAAGCAATTTTCATAAAATCCAAAACGCAAAACGATCGGTAACTTTTCCATCATGTTAGAAATTCTGACTTTATGTAGACATATTAAGTAGACCAGCGGTCAAATTGATTTTTACTGTTATCAATGCGCACCTCAAAGAAGTTACAATTTTTTAAAATTTCTCATATAATAAATCGTTGCTGGCCAATGGTGTTATCAACCATTTTTGGAAAATATATAAAATACGTCTCAATTCGTTATTGCACATTAGTATGCATATTGACTACCGTAAGTGGGGTCGCACATTTTAGCAAGGAAAACTATTACATAACTATACAACACTATAGCATGTGAATATATTCATTAATCTATAGAGAGCTGGAAAAATGGCCTATCTGCTTTGATCCATTATCTTAATCGACTTTCTCTTTTGATAACCACTATACAAACAGTTTTCGTGCTAATTTTGCCACACAGCATGTGTTCGTGCATCATAATTCTTCGTCACGAAAGATCATCGCAGAGCCACCTACAAGTCAACCTGCAACGTGGACATCGCTGATCCTCTCGACCTAAAAAGGCTGAATTTATAAAGAGACGACATGTCAAAATTGGAACAATCGATTATCTGTCAAAGTCATAGGAAAAGTTATTCCAATCGAGCAGAAGACCTGTCAAATGGATAAGACGTCGCCTCTTTACCCAATTCAGTCTCTTTAGGTCGACCGACTCCGACAACCATTGAAGGATGACGTTAACGATCACCCCTCGGATATAAAAAGCTCGATTCGTCGTTGGTATGGTCTCTTGCTTTCTGAAACGTCATCTGTGTAAAATGTAAATAAAACAGTGAGGAGTGAAGAATTTTATATAGAGAATTTTGCATTTAATCAAAAGTGAATTTGTATGTTGAACTTCAATTAGTGATTAATTTAAGAAGAAGAAGTATCAGTGGAAGTTATTTTGACTTACATGCATCTGGAACCTGAAAAGAAAAAAAAAATATGGGAAACCCAACTTACCTGCGCTTTGCAGAATCACTTGCTGCTCGGCTTTGTGCTACCGACAGTATGATAAAGGTGATTTTTATCTATCGTCCAAATCGTCAAATACAACAGGGAATGTTGTTGCAGCTGAGTTATTAACGAAAGAGAAAGTCGATGAAGAGAATAGATCAAAGCAGATAGACCCTTTTTCCAGCTATGTATAGAAATGGTTTATTTACGACTGTCATGGAAATGGTTGATTGTAATTGATATCTAATTTTACTAAAATTAAATTAAAATAGACCCACGTAAATCATTATGTGGGGTGACATTGAACCAAAATATAAATATGGTTAAAATATCTTAAAATATGTAAATGTAACGTAGCTATTAAAAGTACACATAGTTATTATCACAATATACTTCGTATGTACGGCTAAACATCGCGTTAACCCTCGTCTATCCACATAAAAGTGTGTTAAAACATTTGTTTGCCTGTCATTTTTTTTTAAACTTGCTTTTGCTATTATTTACAGTAATATTTAAATTATGGTCAACGCCATCTACATATTACTTCAGGAGTCATCATTTTCTATATATTCAAAATATTTGCTTCATCGAACATTTTTCAATTTTAGCCCAATGTCACCCCGTCTTACGGTACATAAAATACATAGAAGGAAATACATGCCTTGTGTTCGGATTAATCTTGCGTTTTCGCGAATAAAATGGACTGTCATTAATGCTGATGCAAAATCGTGTTTATTCTTGTGCGCGTCGGTCTATCAACTAAACTAAAGAAAAACCTATGTAAAAACAAAACAAAATACATAGGGTTACCAGATACATTAATTCAAGTGCTGATTTCAAATTGACCGTTTAACGCCTGAACATCCTCCCCCGCCTTGCAGTTTCCGGAGAAACTCAATCTTCGTTGGGGAGTACTGCTAACTTAGCTGTTGTCCTCTTGACCGTTCCGCTAGATGTACGCACGGTCACTACTCTGGTCACACCATCCAACCCTGGGTGGGTTTGCACTACCCTAGCCAACCTCCATTGCAAGGGCGGTAAGTTGTCTTCCCGCAATACTACCAAGTCTCCAACCTTTACCTCCTTATGTAGACGATTATGTTTCGGACGTCGTTGCAGTTCTTGAAGATAGTCCGATGACCACCTCTTCCAAAAATCGTCCCTCATCTTCTGCATCAATTGATATCTGGACAGTGTACTCATTTTAAGGCCTTCCAATGAAGGTTCTGGGATCGACGTTAGTTCCCTGCCAATCAACAAATGGCCCGGACTGATGGCCTTGAGATCGCTGGGGTCTGCTGACAAAGGTACGAGAGGCCTCGAATTTAGTATTGCCTCAATTTGAGCGATCAAGGTGTTCCACTGATCATGTGTATACTTCGATTCGCCCACCACTCGTTTGATGTGTCGTTTGGCCGATTTTACTCCCGCCTCCCATAGGCCGCCAAATTCAGGAGAACGAGCAGGAATATATCGCCATTTGATTTCTGATAGCAGACAATACTCGTTGATATCTTGCATGGTTGACTCTTTCTGGAACAGCTTGTATAGTTGATTCAATTCGGAGTTCGCACCAATAAAATTTGTGCCGTTGTCGGACATAATAGTAGTTGGCACACCTCTTCGGGATACAAACCTCTTCAACACGTTGATGAAGGCTTGGCTTGAAAGATCTTCGGCTAGCTCTAAATGGATCGCTTTAGATGCTAGGCACACGAAAAGTGCAATGTACCCCTTGACGATTGTCGGCTTTCGTGGATTACCGCTCTTGACAAAAAATGGCCCAGCATAATCAACGCCCACTCGAGAGAATGCATCTGCCTGCGTAACACGGTAAGCAGGAAGATCACCCATAAAGCGCTCCAACTTGGGCGGATTAACCTTGAAGCAACGTAGACATTTCCTTAAATGTTGTTGAACAATGTTACGTCCATCAAGTATCCAGAACCTCTGACGCAAAATAGACAATAATCCACTTGGTCCAATGTGCAGATACTTCTGATGAATGTCGTCGATGATAATCTTCGTAACATGATGCTTTGATGGCAAAACGACGGGATGACGTTGGCTAAATGTCAGATTAGCATGTTTGATTCGACCGCCAACTCTTAAGACTCCTTGCTCCATAATAGGATTCAGGTACCGAAGCTTTCCGACGTATCTGTATTTAGCATCACCAGTTTGCTGGAATCTTTCAACCTGCTTCATTTCTTCAGGAAAATGCTTCTGTTGAATCGCCTTAACGATCATGTCCAAACCAACCTTGTACTCCTCCACAGTAGGAAACAGACGATGATCCGAATCTGTACGTATCTTCCTCGCCTTTCGCGTGAACCTTGCTACGAACGCTATGACTCGTCGCAAACGCTGGAATGAACTGAACTTGGATAGAACCGGAAGTTCTTCGGGTTCTTCACTCACTGCTAAAGTTATCTTTTTTATGTCTGGAATGTCAACCGCTTCAGCTTTTTCAAAAGCTCCATAAGATGCATTTTTCAGAAAAGTAGGCCCGTGCCACCAAACGTCACTTTTCTTCAATTCCTCTGGATAAACGCCACGCGATAGTAAGTCTGCGGGATTTGATTTCGACTCCACATACTTCCGATCAAATTCTACAGTTGACTGCTGGATTTCAGCAACGCGATTAGCGACAAAGATGTTGAGCTCGTGAGGTGATTTATTCAGCCAACATAGTACAACCGTGGAATCCGTCCATAGTACAACGTTACTAAACTGCAAGCTTAGCGCCGCCATGACAACGCTAACCAAACGAGACATTAACAGGAATCCACAGAGTTCCAAACGAGGAATCGTTTGCTTTGGGGACACTCTTGATTTACTCGCTAGAAGATGGCTCTCTGCACTACCGTCGGAGAGAATGGATCGTACGTATACGCAAGCACCGTATGCCATCAAGGATGCATCTGAGAATGCATGCAGTTCGACACTCACTCGAATCGGCGAAAGAACACACCGACTTATCTTCATTCCTTCCGTCCCTTTCAGGCTAGCCAGGTATCGCCTCCAAGAGTTAATCTGGTCCTGTGGAACTTCCTCGTCCCAACCAATTTTTAACCTCCACAAGTCTCGTATCAACAGTTTGCAGAGTACGACAGACGGTGCAAACAGTCCGAGAGGATCAAATGTTTTTGCAACCTCAGAGAGAATGTGACGTTTCGTGATGAGAGATTGTTCCCGAACTGGAATCATCCGAAAGAAGAATTCATCTGTAGACGGATTCCATAGTAAACCCAGTGTCTTGATTATATCGTTTGCTCCACTGAATTCCAACGACGATCGCTTCTCTCGTAGCTCTTCCGGGATGGTCTCCAAAAAGTCCATTGAATTGGAGCACCATTTGTGCAGTTGAAAACCGCCACTATGTAGAAGTTGTATGAGCTGTTTTGACGCCTCCTTGATTTCGTCGACAGAATCTCCTCCAGTCAACGCATCGTCGATGTAGACATCATGCAGAACGATTTTCGCAGCAATCGGGAACTGGTCTCCTTCATCCTGGACGAGTTGCTTCAAGGTACGTGTTGCTGCAAAAGGGGCTGATGCTGTGCCATAGGTTACGGTGGTAAGTTCAAATGTGCGAATTGGATCAGTTGGAATTTTACGATAAAATGCCCGAAGGAATCTTGTATCATCGCGAGCCATGCGTATTTGCCTGTACATTTTGGGCACATCACAGGAGAACACGTACTGATGAATACGAAACCGAATTGTTATATCCAATAATGGATCCTGAACGACCGGACCCGTCATGAGGACGTCATTGAGTGAAACTCCCGTAGTTGATTTCGCAGATGCATCAAACACTGTTCGCAATTTCGTAGTAGACGATGTGGGTTTCAACACCGCATGGTGAGGCAAAAAGTAGTTGGGTGTGCTGTTTATCTCAGGCTCGAAAATCTCCCGACAATGATTGAGTCGAATGTATTCCTCAATGAAAGCATCATATTCACGCTTCAGTTCCACGTTCTTGTTCAGACGCTTTTCAAGTTGATAGAAGCGCTGCAACGCATACTGCTTCGTTTCACCAAGCTGACCAATGTTTTCACGAAACGGCAATCTAACAACGTAGCGCCCAGAAGAATCTCTTGTTGTGGTTTGAACGTAGTGTTTTTCGCAAAGTTTTTCTTCCGGAGACATCCTAGAAGCCGTTGGAACATCTTCGAGAGCCCAAAATCGTTGCACCAACTTATCCAATTGACATTCGGGTTCAAGAGTGACGGTGTAGCAATGCTGGGGTTGCACATACGACGTTCGATTGTAGATGGTGCCTGTAACAACCCATCCTAGGAAAGTTTCCTGCAGAATTGGTCGTCCATTACCGAGATCGATTCGGGTGTCCTTGAGAATGCTGAAGAAAAGTTCTGCGCCAATGAGAAGATCAATACGCTGAGGTTTATAAAAGTCCGGGTCAGCTAGGCTCATGTCATCCGGAATCTCCAAATCTGATGTATTGAGTTGTTGTGCAGGCAGTATTCCAGTAATCCTTGGTACCACCATACATTCGATATCCTTGGTGTAACTACTGGTCCTGGACTGGAACACAATCGTTACCTGGTGCTTGATTTTCGATTCCTTACCGTTAACTCCAATCACACTGGTAGTGCACCTGTTGCGTTGAATTCCAAGAAGAGTAACCATAGCTTCCGTAACGAGGTGAAGTTGTGATCCTGAATCTAGTAGGACACGGCACAGTTTGGCATGGCCGTGTACGTCGAGTACATTCACAACAGCCGTAGAAAGTAGCACTTCTTTGGATTTGCTCGTACCAGTGGTGCAATTGAGGGTTACCACGTTGCTCGTAGACGATGATGCAATCTCACTTTGGGGACAGATTGCTGTTTCGTTCTTGCAAGTATCATCACTCGGTTTCGGCGAATCGATGTGTAGAACCGTGTGATGTCGCTTGTTACATTCTCGACAGGAATACTTCGAGGAACATTTTGCTGTCATATGCCCTTTTCTCAAACAATTGTAACAGACACCAGCTTTTTTGGCTCTGGTGTTTCTGTCATTAGCTGAAAGTTTTAGAAACTCATCGCATTGGTGATTGAGATGCTCCTTATCACAAAACACGCACTTTCCCTCAGCACTTATTGCTGGGAAAGACGACGATCTTGCTATTTGTTGTGTTTTCAGCGGGGCAATTTGTGCCTTCATTTTGACCGGTTTGATTAAAGAAGCTTCCACTCGTTCCAGTACCAAAGCGTGTTTCTCGAAAAATGCAATGGTATCGTCGTATTTGGGAACCGTGCTTGTTGCTGGCTTCCCAAAGCTTCTTAGTCTCAAAGTCAACCTTGGAAGCAAGAATATTCACCAAAACAATGTCTGAGAGGCCTAGTACTTCGTACCCGTGGAATCTGAGCGAATCGACGTGTCGTTTGCACTCTTCGATTAAATCCCTCAACTGCTTTCCACTTTCTTGAGTCATGGGCTTCAGCTGGAGTAACTTGTTCGCATGGATGTCGACAATCTTCCGCTTATCCTCATATCGTTGTACAAGGAAATTCCATGCCGCTTCGAAGTTGTTTTCATTGATGAATTGTTGATTGATGACACCAGCTGCCTCACCGACAAGGCATCTATCCAAGTGATATAGCTTCGTAGCAGCGTCCTCCGTTGAACACTTGTTCATAATGTCCAAAAACATCGATTTAAACCTAAACCAATGTTCCGGTTTGCCGTTGAATGATAGGAGAGGAGTATGAGGAAGAATCGATTGCTGCACTCTAATCGGATGTGAAACACCTGGTGTTACTTGCAGAGCGGTGTTGAATCGAGCGTCATTCTGCCTCTTCTGCGTTGTTATCAACCTACAGACCACAGCTCTCACCTCCGTAAACATGGTCTCAAATTCAACGTAGATTTGTTCTTCTTCCTCCTGCTTCGTAGGATTCGCAGCACACAACTTGTTTTGGCAGTCGTTCATTTCCTGGTAAGCCGCATCAATCGTCCTTAAGTATGTTTCCAGAATGAATTCGTCAACTGGAACCTGTTCATCATCCGCTTTCTGTAGACTGGATTTGATGCGAGCGACTTTTGAACAAATGAACTCCCGCTGTCGACAAAGACCCGCCAATGTTTCCGCCATTTTACTCTTCCGATCGCGCTCCGCCTTGGCAACTCTCTGCTGCGCCACCGAGATAAAAGCAGGAATTTTCGACCCTCTTCGTGTTGTAATCGGCATGTAAACCGCGCGTGACAAACGAATTTACATATTCGATCTCGAAGGACCAAAAATGTTCGGATTAATCTTGCGTTTTCGCGAATAAAATGGACTGTCATTAATGCTGATGCAAAATCGTGTTTATTCTTGTGCGCGTCGGTCTATCAACTAAACTAAAGAAAAACCTATGTAAAAACAAAACAAAATACATAGGGTTACCAGATACATTAATTCAAGTGCTGATTTCAAATTGACCGTTTAACGCCTGAACACCTTGTATGTATATTTTAACTGATTATGGAACTATCAGAAATGATTGGTTTAATGGATTACAAACTGAAAAACTGATATTGTGTAACCATCGCAACATCTATTTAGCCTGGAAAAAGAAGTGCTCGTTCAATTCGTATTGTCATCAAAATGGCACTAGCTCAATTTCAACTTCGAGCTTTAAATTCTGCCTTTTTAATATTGCGCATTTTGCATCACTTTAGAGTCCTGTGCAAAACACAGTAATATTGTCGCACAGGCCAGAACATTTAAAAATCGACTTATTTGAAATTAGCAGCAGATATAGAACAGTATTGGCAAGCTACACTAATGAATTTGAGCTCCAAAATCATTAAGAAGATCAATATTTAAGTTTTATGGCCTGTGCGAAAATATTCCTGTGAACTTAGTTTTAGCGCAGGAGCCTAATGAGGCGTGAAATCTGCGGTAACTTTTCTAGCTAATAAATTTCGCCCTAAGTCTCATGTTGATGTTTAATAAGTATTTACCTCTACTTTGATCTCTTTAGGATTTCGTGGCGTAGAAATCATTAACTATATCTATGATTTTGCCATGGATTATCAATCATACCAATGGTACAATAGGTACTTTAGTTGTAAAGCATGGTTCAAAAGCTACAACCATCGTCCGGTTTACAAACTGTGACCGATATCGGTGGTGGCAGAACAGGCAGCGAAAATTTTTGTGCAGCTTAAGAACCACACCGGTTTGCTTTTCTGGGCGGCGCATTTGGTGGTCAATTTGATCATTATCTTTGCTTTCGTGTGATCCAGAGTATGAGAACTACGGTAGAACAGTTGATCGGTCAAATCACCGCGCATTTGTGAGCATGATGCTGGTTTTTTCGCCTGCGGAAAATTTGCCTGATACGTCTTCTGAGCTGAGAATCCGTGAGCTTAGCGTTTTCGTTGGCAATGTGGCCTGTTTCGAGGGGATATTGAACGTCACGGTGCCCTGTTCTATTCCACTTTTGCTACTGTCGGTTATCTCTTGTAAATCTTCACACGCTTTCATGACTTTTGTTGACATTTTACAGTTCATGAACCATGTTCCCGTTTCGCGAAAAGATTCACGATATCAAACACAACTCATGAACTTTAATCACGTTTACCAGAACCAGATAATGATTTTCAGAACACAGTTCACGTTTCTATGACGTTTGTTGCCTTTGCTGGTACCCGGTGCACCGTAACGCAGGCGTTACGTTAATTTTGAAGAACACGATTCCATGATTTTTATTCATGGTGTACTTTCGTAATCGAAAAAGGGATTTGTTCGGAAATTCGTGACTTGAGGTTGACAAATTTCGGAACGGATTTTTTCATGAGTATCTTACCACTTGTGTAAGATCGTACACTCGCACGTATTTAACGTTGTCCCCCGCAAGCGACATCCGTAACTCATCTTCTTTTACATTAGCATTATGGGAAATTAATTGCTCGGGGTTATACATCAGGGCACAATGTATACTTCACAGACAAACAGGCATAACTCTCGGAAGCAGTGCATCGATCACGCATTTAACGGTCAATTTAAATGTTTTTTAGTTGACGTTTTCACACTACCCAAATAACACATATTTATGGAATTATGTTGAGTAAACTTCTCCAAAACCAGTAATATAAAGGTTATATAAACTGTTACTGAATTTTTGTGTTGCATGGGTACAGCTATCTGTTGAACGTAAAGCCCACTACAGTTTACTGAAAAGATGGCGGTAGTTTGTTAACGCTGATGTTTTACAGTGAGAAATATTCAATGTGATATGTCTGT